TTCAGGGACGATACTGAACCGGGAGACATAGCTCGCAAGTGTCTGTTCTACCCGGGGTATTGCCCCATAGCCATGCTCTCTTAACCCCCAAATATCTGAATATACATGAATGTGGGGCTAAAAAATGAGTAAGGCTTTTTCCATGATCTAGACAGCTCGCTGTGCAGATCGGGAAAAATGGAAGGCCCCGTGATGGAGGTGGAAAAATAGAGGGAAGGAAACTCGTTCAATTTATTTTAAGGACGAGTGCTCCTTATTTCTGCTGGCCATTAAATATTTAATTTATCTACAGCCTTAGTAAAACACCTCCACCAGCTTATTATTATATATATATTTTTTTATATACATTCTTTATATATATACACTTTATTTTATAAATAATATATAAACTATCATATATATATATATATATATATAGGCTATATATAATTCTCATACGCTGGGGAAGAGATGGCAAATCCACTTCCCCCATGATTGTGTACACTTTCAATGCCCAGCACATCTACCTCCTCGGAGGTAGAGCACTGAAGCATTGATTTCTCTCCCCGGGCGGAAGAGACCGCAGCGCGGGCTTCCGAGACCGGAGAGAGAGCACTGGATCCCTCGTGGAAAGGGAGGAGATAAGATCCGCGGACCCGTCTCCAACCCCGTAACGAGATCCTATTCGCGATCCACAGGAATGCATTCTCCGCGCTGCCTCGGCAGACGCGTGTCCTGCACCCCGAGGATCGCGAGCCTGGCCACTTTCCTCGAAAAGTGACAGTCGGGAGTGGAGCATGCGAAGCGAAAGCTTCTCACAATGTTGCAATCAGCCCCCTCGGAGGCTGATACCGCATGCTCCACTCCCAAACAAACTACACAAAGCTCGTGTGTGTCCCCACCCGTTAAATAACGCGGGCAGGGAGAAGCACAGAGTTTGTAAAGTTGTTTCGCCATAACTCTTCCCAATAATATCGAACAGACAACAATAAATAGACAGAGACAGAGTAACACAGATCGCTTGCTGAGACACAGAAGCTAATGCCGCGTTTCACCGGATGTGCTCTTATGCCTTCCTGGTCATGACGTCACCCGCCCGTGACGCTCATTCTTTCCATTGGACTAGTTGACATTGATGCTCAGACGCATTCACGCTGGGGGCGTTCCCAAAGCGTCAAGTGACGCATCGCGAGTTCCCTCGAAAGGGAACACCAAAGTTTTTGCTGGAGTTTTTTTTTATTTTTAATTCTGTTAATTTCATCCATTCTCAGACAAAATAAATGTAAAACTTGGACTTTAAATGAGCTAGACGGAAACCTCAGGTTTTCCTGTTTAAAATTATACTGTATATGGCACTTGATGCTGACTGCTAGAATGGGCTAGAAAAACAAAGAAAAGTACAGACGAGCCAGGTGCCCCAAAAATATTATAGGTTTTTAAGGGTTAACCTGTGCATCTGTGCAGGGTGAAAAGGGCTTTACAAATGTATAGCAATAGTCTCTTTCACCTGTTGCACAACTGTGCTCCAGTATAGAGCAGCTGGGAAACTGTGACATTGGCTGTACAGCCTTTAAATATCTGGAAAAGATGTTTGCGTGGGGGAGAGCTCTGCACTTTTCTAATGTCTTGTCTCCTGCTTTGTTGGGGGGTTATTTTATGAACGTTACATGTGCAGCAGCAGCATGTCTTACATACTCACTGCAATGTATGTGAATGTATTTGTAGCAAGGTTCAGGGAAGAAGGAGGCGGGAACCGGAGAACAATCAAAAGAAAACTTTATTTTAAATGAAATAAACACAATACCTGCCAGCAGTCCCTCACGGAACTGCTGGCTACCCAAAATAAAATATAACTACCTGCCAGCAGCCCCTCACGGACGACTGCTGGCTACCAAAATAAAATAAAACAAAACACAAACAAAAGCAGGCCTGTTCCTCTCTCGATCATCCACTCCGTCGCTCCTCCTTTATGCTTCCGCTCCTCCGTGAGAGATGCGAGACCGGTGTGCTTCACAGGTGCTGCTCATTAGCAATCGCACCACCGGCCTCGCAACGTTCTCTCACGTCCCTCGGCCGTCCTGCTCACCACAGTATTGGCATTAGAAAGTCTCGGTTCTTACTCTGCAGCAGCAGCTGCGTAGCAAAACTATTCCGCCAAGACCAAAAACATTAACATTTCCATATCTATTTCCATTACCAACCCAATCGCTCCAAGAGTTGTCATGACAGAATTACCTAGTTCTGGCATGAAACTCTAGATGACACAGGCTGATAGGTCCTTACTCATTTGGTTGCTTTCGCATCATAATCTACATAGAGCAGCTGATTGGTTGCTGTTGCATCAGCGGTCAATGAGTTGCGGCTTAACATTTAAACAAATACCGGTTGTGTTGCTGTTAGCAGTCTACAGCAGCCTTTCTCAAACTTTTTTCAGTCGGGGCACCTTTCAAAAGTGCATAAAATCTCAAGGCACCCCAGTGTAAAATATAAATTAAAGACACTGCATAACCCAAATGTAAATGCAAATGTCCTGTTTATTTAGACAGAACAGTAATGAACAGAGCATAATACGAACTGTAAATAACAATAACAATAATAATAACAACTTTACAGGGCTATCACTTTTGTGAAAAAAATCCTGATCGATTTTTGAGACATAAAATGAATCGATTGTAAAATCGATTTTCCATGTCTAAAGACGTTTCCATTTTCAGCGCCAAATATAGGCAAATCCACAGACAACTAACAGGCATTAGCACGAGCGTAAAGAGTGCACTTGAGACGCGCACAAGTCAGCAATATTTCTGATGATTTATTGGCATGAAGTTTCGTGCACAATGACAAACAGGAGTGCAAGATTCTCGAAAAACAATAAGCAGAGTGGACTGCCATAACATCAATGAAAAACATTACTGCAGGCTTCAACATGGCTGTGTTTACGATTAGAAATGTCAAACAAATTTCGCCTACGTAGGCGATTGTAGGCCGGATCTGTATCTGTATGCATGGGACTGTCTGAATACCGGCAGAATTCACATTTTTGTTGTAAAAAGAGACACGTTATGCAGAAGTATAGTATAGTTTGTATGTGTGTTTGTCAGAGCCTGCAGTTGCTGTGTGACGCGCGTTCGCGCGGTCGGTGTTGTTGCTATAACGCGGTGCTATGGGTTGCGTCACTTGCGTCAAGTTGTGTGTGTGTCTTGCTTCGGTCTTTTGAGACGGATTTTTATGGTTAATTTTATATATATATATTTATCTAAAATTAATTTACAATTTTATTAATACGTTCATATGTTTAAAAAGAAGAAGAATGTATTTATGTAAATTCAAATATATATATATTTTTAGCCTACGTAATTTTTTGGCGGCACCCCTGACAAAGTCAGGGGGCACCCCAGTGTGCCGCGGCACCCACTTTGAGAAAGGCTGGTCTACAGCACGCTTTCAGAAATCAGCCTGTAGCTCCACCTGTATAGATCTGTGAATGTATTGGTAGTAGCAAGTCTCTGTACTTGCTCTGCAGCAGCAGCGGCATAGCAGATTTGTTCCGCCAAGACCAAATGCATTAACATTGCCATATCCATTACCATTACCATGACCATGCCAATCTCTCAGAGAGTTGTCATGAGAGAACAGCCATAATTAACTTTTTTTTTTATCCCTCACTTAAGGACAAAAGTCTGCTACTATAGGGAAGGCAGGTGTTGGGGGATCTCCCAAGACGTATGTCCAGGGGCCTCACAGGATCCAGCTCTGACATATCAATATTTTTCATGCGATTATATGAAAACGACAGAGGATCAACTAATCTTAATGTGACCTTACATTTGTTTTCCACACTGTTCTCATTGCGGCACTGCTATTCTTGGTGCTTCAACAACGTGACACCAAATACAATCCATGAACCTTCTTCTCTGAGGTGAATATATCCATTGTGCTCGTCGTAACAAGAAGTTATCACGTTCACATCTGTCAACTCATTCTGACTGTCATCAGACAAAAAGAGTTCCGGTCCAGAGATATTTAACTCATTGAAGAAAGTATACTTTTTGCGGGATTTCTAGGCATTGTATTTCATGTTGTATTTTTGATTTTTCACAACTTGTGTGCTTTGCCTGGGCGAGACGGAGTGAACTGTGGCGCTTATAGAGTCACACGAACGCACATGTTGCATAACAGTGCAAAGACCAATGCCAGAATTTTTTATAAATAAAATAATACATTAAATTTTATATTGTCACGGAGCCATCCACGTCATCACTCCCGCCCACTGCACCCGATCGTTACACCAGATCACAATCACCTGATTTCTAATCACCGGCACCTGCACGTCATGATTGCACTCACTACTTCAGTCACAGTTTCCTGCACCTTAGTGTCTGGTCTCGTCTCTCGACACTACAGACTCATCTTACCTGTGAACCAAACTGAAGATACTTTCCTGTTGTCCTGAGGTTTCCTTGTCATCGAGTTCGTCAGTATTCTGCAAAGACTTTGTGTTCACCGTCAGTTAAGTGTTCACCATACCTGCTGATCATCATCACACTCAAGTTATTCCTGCATCGCTCACTCTGCACTTCAATAAACTTGTTATTTGTTTAACATCTGCCTTGTCTGCCTTACTATGGATGTGACATATATTGTATACCCCCAGAACACTTGGAATATACTACACGTGTCGCATGCGATCATTCTGTGATACTTTTGTGTCTTTTTTAAAAAGCTTGATGCTGGTCGCTATTCACTTCCATTATATGGATTAGCGTGAGTAGGACATTTCTTTTTTAAATTATCCTTTTTGTGGTCCATAAAAGAAAGAAGGGAATACAGCATTAGAACACAGAGAAATGATTACAGATTTGTTGAGTGTTTTCTCATAAAGCACATTGTTTTTGGCATTACTCCCCCTAAATGTGTAGTTTGAAGTTGTTCATCCTTATTTGTAAATCAGTATCAACTCCCATAGCTTTGTGTATTATCTGGCTTTTTTCTTACCTTGCCCTTATTGTTCTACCTTTCAGAAAATGGTGACTGCGCTGGACAAAAACTGGCATCCAGAATGCTTTAGCTGTGTGAAATGCAGCTGTCCATTTGGAGATGAAGGTAAGGGGTGATAAAGGTAGCTGATTTCAGACCATATTTGAGTTTTTTTTTTTTAAATCAAGAAATTCATTGATATATCAATATATCTAATAATTAATCATGTGGATGAATTGATAATAGTATGTGCAGATCAATTGATGGTTACACTTTATTTTAAGTTGATGTAGTTACATTGTACTTGCTCATATAAGTACTTATAATTTTAAATACTACAATATAATTACTACATGTACCTACTATAAGTGCATGTAGTAACATCTGACTATGCCACTTTAATATAAAGTGTTACCCAATTAATTAATAGATTTAGAAAAATGATTGTTAAAAAAAAACAAAAACAATTATGGTCGATTATCAATCATTTCAGTATTGTGTGATAAATGAGATTATTTCTCTTTTATCAATGTATCCAGTATGCATTATAACTAAATATTTATAGTCTTGAGATGGCATTTGAACTATCAGGCTACAAGATATTCATAATATGAAGCAGTTAAATTTCAGTCCAGCAACCATATAAAAAAAAGTAGTTAGCTGCACTACAAGCTACCAACAAAAAGTAGCCAACATTAGCTCTTTCCCAAATGGCAACCTCATGTGAACTTGTGGTCTTGTGGACTTACAATAGCCATCATATGTGCATATTCATTAAGTCTATGAGACCGTACAGTGTTCCATTAATCATTTTAAGTTTGAGGCTTCTATGCGTCCTTGATGAGCACTTCTGCCAAGTCCGCAGCAGCACACTGCTACCAGTCACGGAGCTGTGGACTGCGAAAACTTAGGGTGCCAATTTGGTAGAGGGCCATTTGAAGCTTTTTAAGTGGGTTATAGATATCAGAGATCATAAAGAGGAGGATCTCAGATATAGCTACTGTCATGTTGGGAGTGAGCAGGCAGAGGCGATGATCTAGGTGTGAGGAGTGTTTAATAAACAAACATAAAAGTACATAAAAAAAATGGAGAAACACTGGGAACAAAGCACACAGGTAACTAAACACAAGGGCTATACACATGGGGGAACAAGCTTAACCCTCTGGGGTGTGAGATGTTTTCTGGGCCCTGGAGGTGTTCTGACATGCTCTGACATTTGTGCTTATTTCTGTTACTTGTGACATTTTCATGGCTAAAGTCTGATTACACTGTATTCAGCACAAACTCTGCTACAGCATGTATGTAAAAGTTTGTAGTTTTGAGATAATTATGTTTATGCGTGGTTTGTGAAAAAAAAATTGTCACTGAAATAAGGTCATGAAACCCATACTGATTATTTCTTCACAAGTCTTTTGAAAATTGTATCACTTAGCCTAGAATATTTGCTTCAAAATTCTGTGAAAATCATCCAGCATACTCATTCAGATAAAACAATATATTGATTTAAAATTTGTAAGACATGTTTTGTGTAAGAAAGCTTTATGCGAGGAGGTGTGAATCATCATGAATATTGATGTGTTTCACACCTGAGAAAGACAAAGACCCTCCCATAATGGCCCTATCAGGTGCTATCAGGCCCTATCATTATGACGTACCTTGCACAAAGAATGAGGAGAGATTTAAAAAAGAATGGCTTTTTGATTGTTTGGATTTATTTACAACACAACATAATCCAAAGACACACAACAAAGGACAAAAAAGCCCATTATTGAACACACTGATCTAAAGACAGAGACTTGAACAGTCACACACCTTTGTGACATTCCTGAAACATAGTACATACCTGTCATTTCCAAGGTGTTTGGTTTTTAATGTTACCATGTTCATGTACAGAGTCTCATGTGAATGTTTAAGTCAGCAGGACTCCTCAGTGGCATCTGGTTCCTGTAAAAAAAAAAAAAAAAACATAAAAAAAAAAAACTGTGAACATGCTGATATCAAGAGAAACTATAGGCTGCACGGTTTTGGGAATACATTTTAGATTTTTCTGGTTAAAATTGCGATTTAAAAATTACTATATATATACAGTATATATATATATATATATATAATGAACACCAGATTTGTTGTGCCTTGTAGGCATATACGTGTAGGGCTGCATCAAATAATAATAACAATAGCCTATAGTATGCAGCCTATAAATCGTTAAAAAGGAACACTTCAGTAACACTACACTAGAAAAAAATATATGGATATGTTACTTCAAATGTTTCTATTCGTTACAAACACAGTATTTAACAGTAAACATGGTTCTAAACATTATAATATTCACCATATTAGAGTAAACACTGATACTAGCCTATTTTTATATCATGCTGTGTTTTATTATCGAACATAAAAACATCCTCGTGTCGTACATGTATATAACTTTCCCATTGAAAGGTAGCCTGCCTGTCTATAGTACATATTTCAACATGCTTCCATCGATTTCATACATTTTAGTCTAGCAACAGTTCAACTGCAATGTGAAGTTTATGCAACAATAACACTAATTAATATAAATCAGAATACATTTCTTACCTTAAAATCTTTCTTGTCTTCAAATCGGGTTTTTCTTCTTCTGAGGTAAATCCAATGTAAGCTCACACCGTGTCTTCCAAACTCGATCCTTCCAAACTTCCGAAATCTCTTTTGCGCGCATGGGTGTGGTCACATCAAAACTAATAAGCAAGCGTTTGAGAAACTGGACATCTTGTTGGTTTTTTCGTTTTGAATCAGATAATTTAAAAGTACACACTTAAATGTTTATAAAGATATATTGCTCATAAATGTGTGACAAGTAATCGCTGAGTTTTGTTTCAGTTTATAGACATGCTCATGAAAAATAAGTTCACAGAGACGGAGAGGCAGAAAGCACACACAGTTTATTTTCTTTATTTTACAAAAGCACAATGTTTTGTTTTGATTGTAAGTGGACACATATAAAAGACATCTCACAGATTCTTTTTTTTCATATTTCTTTTTCTGTATGACCATAAATGACGGAGTAATTTAAGTCTATTGTGCTACTATGTGAAGAAAATCCAGCAAAACGCGCCGGCGCGTTTGCCGATCCTAGAGGGTTAACAAGATAACGAGGTAATGAGACACACCTGGGTAGACTAATCAAAGGGGGAAAAGTACAAACAACTACCACAGCAGAGTAGACGGGCCAAAAGATCCCCATGGCGGATCAGATGACCACCACATCAGAGCAGAGGAGCCTGAAGAACCCCACTGCAGAGTTGAGGACCACCACTGTGAAGACGGAGCTGGTGACTACCACGGCGTAGCTGGTGGGGCTGAATACCACCAAGGCGTAGCTGAGGACCACCACAGTGGAGCTGGAGAACTACAACAGAGAGCATAGATAGGTTAGGGATGGCACTTATGGCCATAACAGGGCGAGAAAGTTCAAGGGCAACCTCTGTGGCCATGTCCAGGCAGGCAAACAGTTCAGGGAGAACCTCCGTAGTCGTGTCAGAGCAGACAGGAGGTTCAAAATCAGTGTCTGTGGCCATAACAGAGCTGACAGAGAGCACAGGGAACTCAAAGTCGGCCTCTAGGGCGGTAATAGCACCAAAGAGGGTTCAGAAACGGCCTCCGTGGCCACAACAAAGGTATCAGGGGACACTGGCTTTGTTTACATGCAACCAAATAATCTATTAGTAATCGTATTGATGGTTCAATCGGACTGAAAAGCCTTCATGTAAACTCCTTAATCGATCTGATTGAGCTCGATCCAGATGAAATTTCGATCGTATTGAAAGGGATGGTTTTTTCTTTTCTAATCCGATCGAGAGAACATGTAAACACTTGATCGGATTGAAAACCGAAACTGAAAGAACTGCACATGTGCAATGACGTTGAAATAGCATAATGACGTATGACGCGCGGAACCAGCAGTTCTTCCTGTTGAATAAAGTGTCATATAAAATGAGTGTCCCGTCATTCTAAAATTCTCCTTTCACTCAGCATCTGTGAAGTGGAGCAGGACAACGTCCCACCAGTCCTTGTTTCGGATTCTCATCCACAGACGACTGGTTTTGGTCGCGGAGGGGCATTTTTACTGCTTGATAAATATAAGTAGCACGGCACAACGGTTCATATGCTCATTTACTCCAAATTATGACCAGAAATGGATAAATATTAAGGGTGCTGTTTAAAACAAATAAAGAACCAATGTAGGAGAATAGTTAGTATGTGCAAACAGCGGGAAACTCTGTATATTCGTGCAGTGTGCGCATGTCATAAAATCTATTTCGATTTGAAGCTTGTAACATAAACGCGCACCTTAACCCGATCACATGTTTACGTTCATGTAAAAACTACATTCAGATTCATCAATCGGAATGAATTCAGTCCGATTGAAACAAAAGTTGTACTTGTAAACGTAGCCAATGAGAGTTCAGAAACGGCCCCCGCGGCCGTAACGGGCTTCAGGGGACACTGAGTTCAGAAATTACATCCACAGCCGTAACAGAGACATCTGGAGACACAGAAAGTTCAGAAATGGCACCCGCAGCTGTAACAGGGGCTTCAGGGAACACAGAGTTAAAAATTGGCGCCCATGGCCGTAACAGAGACATCTGGGGACCGAGAGTGTTCAGAAATGGCACCCGCAGCTGTAACAGGGGAATCAGAGGACACAAAGTTCAGAAGAGAATGCCGCCGCCTCGGGAGAAACAGGCGAGGTGTGTGCAGCCCAAACACACAAAATGGCAGTAGCCACCACAGGGAGAATGAAAGACAAAATATCTACCTCCGGGAAGGCGGCGGAGCAGCCTGCAAGCTAGAAATCGCTGAGACCGGCAGGCTTGAGAACGCTGAGAATGGCGAGCTTTAGAGCGTAGCAGCGGGCGGGCTTGAAAACGCTGAGACCGTTGGGCTTGAGTGGGCTCCATTCGCGGTCTGAGGCTGATGTAACTTCCGCACTCCCCAAAGGCATAGCGCAACACCGATAAGCATTCCACTTGAACTTAACACCTTAATTGATAGTTACTACCCACAATAATGTTGCATGAAGTGTGTACATATACATAATGAAACCAAATGTCTTTAACTTCATAGAAAAATAGGAAGCTCAT